GTACATATCCAAATACTGGCGATTCCAATCTTAGCCGAACGAACACTCACGGTTCGTTCATAACGGGGCACCCAACCAATAGCTAACAGTTGGCAGATAGCTAACGCTAACAGTGTGTAGAATGATATAGAGACTGTTATTAAAAACACAACGATTCCATAGAGCAGGACTCCTAGGCCAACTTGACTACCAGTTCGCCAGGCATGAGAAATCCCAGCCACAATCGTTATCTCGCCAAGAAGACCGGTTAAGAAGTCAGCGACCAAAACTCCTGTTACAAAAATCGTTAAAGGATTTCTGAAGCACTTCAGGGGATCTTTGTAGATGGCAAAAAGCGTCAACCCATTGAGAACGATCGTTGCAATGGCGGCGAAGAAGATGTAGACGAGCTGAAAGATCCAAAATCCGTACAACGTGTGAATGTAAGATGGCATGCTATGAGAAGTGTTAGTTGTTGGAGCGATGCTTGTTGTTGTTAGATTGTTCATTTTACAAATAACACCAGAAGATTCTAACTAGATTCTAACTGCACTGCAGGCATGTTTGAGCTTTTCTTTGTTCTGCATGATCGCTCTGGGCGGGGCTACTTACGTCGCTGATTTCCACAGGGAGCCCAACTTCACAACAATTGATTTATTTTGATTTGTGCAAAAAAATTCGAATTTTGTTACAACTGGTCACAACTGCAAAAATATCACAAGTACAGAAACTTAATTCAAAATGCTAATTGGTGATTTCAAATTTTGCATGAAACTAAAAATAACAAGTTTACAATGTAATGCAAAATGTACAATTTTCTTTAATGCTGGCGGAAACCCTATTATGTGTAGCCTAGCAACAGTTTGAGATCATTTTCAGCTGTAATTTTACATATATTAATTAGCTACACTTCTTTGGAATATAGCGTTTGTGCATTTGTTGCAGAAGTGCAATTACTATTGTCTGCATTGCTGCTCATTATGGCAATCAGTCCAGATAAAAGTTGTGGTATGCAACAAACTCCCAACAGCAAACAAATCTAAACTTTGGTGTTTACCACCAGTGGTTTTGACTTAAATGTCTGAGCTGGTTGTGCAGCAATGCTAAGGATGGTAAGATCAAAATATTAATTAAGTTTGATAATAATCCTGTTGCAAAAATTGTAAATGTACAGGTATATAAATATACCCTGAAAATAGCAAACAGGACAATGCAAATCCTAACTTGCTCTATCAGCTAATCCCCTGTTATTTCCATTATTAAAACTCATAATGTAGGAGGAAATTCTATTCAAAATTCTTTTCTTTTTTGCTATAGCTCCTTAGCGCAATGCTGAGCAGCCTTTGAAGTTTTTGTTTTTCCTGTGGATTTTTTTGTGAAAGTGTATTTGGATTAATTGTCTAAATCACTTCCACATTGATATTATCCTGTGARTCTTCCTCAAAGTCTTCTCGTCTGGTCTCGTTGTAGGCTGCTCTTCCTTCTTGATCATCTTTAACACAACCACAGCATTTCAAGYAGCCTGCATAGAYGATCTTCAATGACTTTTTATACTTTGGAATGCGCCACACAAGGATGATGGGATCTGCAACRAACTTTGCAAGAAACAGCATAGTGCATACGGCACGGACAATTTCCACGTTGACCCAGCCTTGAGCACTTCTTCTGTTAGATGCATAATAAATGGGAATTGCAATTGAACASGCAATATAGGGCCAAACGGTTAGAATCTGAACCAGCACCAGCAAAAAAGTTCCCTTCATGAATTCCTTTGTCACGACTTGACTTTCCAGAGGATTTTCCTGGCGGTTGACYCTCTTGCGGAAGACATGGTACGAAACGATGTAGATGATAACCAGTGCGATAGTAATGAGGGTCACCTGGATGAGCRYAATCCCAATTACAAACCAMACGGTCAYAATCGCTAACGCAATACATAAAATGATTGTGATAGTCCAAATGACTCCGATTCCAATCTTGGCCGAGCGATTACTCACACAACGCTCATAACGTTGTACCCATCCGATGGCAAGCAACTGGCAGATAGCTAATGCTAGTAACGTGAGGAAAGAAACGGCTGTTGAAGCTGCAAACACAACAAAGCCAACGATGAGGACGTGGATGCCAATGTCTTCGCCGGTTCGCCAGGCGTGCGAGATCCCAGCAACCATAACAGGCTCGCCTATCARACCAGTTACAAGATCAGCGACCAAGGCTCCTGTCACRAACACCGCCAAAGGATTTCGGAAGCATTTGAGAGGATCTTTGTAGATGGCGTACAGTGTCAAGCTGTTGACCACTACAGTTGCAATGGCCACCAGAAAGATGTAAACAAACATAAAAATCCAAATGCCTATTAARACGTGGAAGTTTCTTGGCATTTCATAATGAGTTATATTTGTTGTGTTTGTCGTCGGGAACACGGTTGTTGTCATTTTAGTTGGATTAGTCATTTTGCAAACTAATTTTGTAGACTTACGAAGGGGTCACAACACTCAAAGTTCTGCTCTGCATGATCGATTTCTGGGAGGATTTCAATGACGTCATTGCTCCACAGGGTTCCCAACCGAACAGGAGTGTGCAAGCTTACCAAAACAATTTTTTGGGGCTTTTAATAAAGTTTTTGTTTATAGTATTTGCAGAAACTTTGTTTTTTTTTTCTCATTTAAAGTGAAGAAAAATTGAAACCAACTGTGAAATATAACTCCTACTAGACCTACTAGTAAGCGAAGCAACGTGCACGGTACGGCAGAGATCCATGAAAACAGGAAGCCCAAATCCTACATTATCCTATTGAAAAGAACACCTGTGCATCACCTACACTATTTCAATTGTTATACTAGCAGTTCCACTAAATCAATAGTTGCAAAAGTTCGAATGACAATTCCTTTTCTTCATTCTCCATAGCACCATGCCAAACTCAGTCAATGTGTTGTACTTTTGCTTAAATAACCTCCACGTTGACCTTGTCTTGTGAATCTTCGTCAAAGTCTTCTCGTCTGGTCTCGTTGTAGGCTGCTCTTCCCTCATTTTCATCTTTAGCACAACCACAGCATTTCAAGCAGCCGGCATAGACGATCTTCAATGACTTTTTATACTTTGGAATGCGCCACACAAGAATGATGGGGTCTGCAGCGAACTTTGTAAGGAACAGGATGTTTGCTATGGCACGTACGATTTCTAGGTTGACCCACCCATAACGACTTTGGGGAGTTGCATAATAAAAAATAGCTGCAATTGAACATGCAATATAGGGCCAAACGGTTAGGAGCTGAACCAGCACCAGCAAAAAGGTTCCTTTCATGAATTCCTTTGTGACAACTAGATTTTCCTGGCGGTTGACCCTCTTGCGGAAGACATGGTACGAAACGATGTAGATGATAACCAGTGCGATAGTAATGAGGGTCACCTCGAAAAGCATAACCCCAATTACAAGCCACACAGTCACAATCGTTAACAAACATAAAATGATTGTGATAGTCCAAATGACTCCGATTCCAATTTTGGCCGAGCGGTAACTCACACAACGCTCATAACGTTGAGCCCATCCGATGGCAAGCAACTGGCAGATAGCTAATGCTA